AGGAGGAGGAGGAGGAGGAGGAGCGATCTGCAGACGACCCTGTGTGACTGCAGTGGAAGAGGAGGGCGGCGCCCGCCTCGGGCGGAGCGGGTTGGTCACGCTCAGCCTCTCCACTGCGAAATCGGCGCCCGCGGCGCCGAACACTGGCCTCTCCGAGCCGGCCTGGTGCGAGTCCGGCCGCCCCGCTGGAGGCGGGGAAGAGGATTGAGGGTCCACCTCCTGCTTTTCCTCCTCCTCCTCCTCCACCTCCTCCGCCTCCTCCTCCTCCTCCGCCCTCCTACTCCTCCTGATTATCTTCCTCTCCTCCTCCATCCTCCTCCTCCTATCTTCCCCCCTCCCCCTCCTCCTCCGCCTCCTCTCTCTTCCTCCTCCTCATCTCCTCCTCTCTGCATCCTCCTCCTCCTCCTCCTCCTCCTCCTCCTTCTCCTCCTCCTCCTCCTCCTCCGACGACGACGACGACGACGACGACGTGTCAAAGGGGCCAGCGTCCTGAGCGGCCCCCCAGAGGCCAAGAATGGGCACAAACCTTGCATCTTGCTTTTCGTTCTCAGCAAGAGGTGATCTGGCTGAAGATGAATCGAGAATCTCTGAGATCCGGCAACTCTGGAGGATGTCTCGGGCGCCGCGGCCTTCTCAGAGCATTCCGGCCTTCTCAGAGCATTCCGGGACGCTCTGAGAGCGTTCTCAAACGCTCTGGAACGGATTAATCCTTGTCCTAGCCTCGCCCGACGACATTCGGGTCGCAACAAGTGCCCGGACGATTCGGGCCCCCCCGGAAAGATCTCGGCGAGGCCTGCTGGAGAGCACCCCGAAGCTGGAAGAGCTTCTGGGGACCTCCGAAAACGTCCGAGACCCTCGAACCTCGAACTCCAAGGCAGTCAGGCAGTCACCTAACCCACCAGAGGAGGAGAAGGAGGAGGAGGAGGACCAGTGTAAACCCAAAATGCATCAAAGATGTGGCAATCAATCCTCCCTTCAAGTGTCTTTTTCGTGGGTCCCTACAAGACTGTATTTTCATTGCAGGGAGTGCCACATTGGAAAACAACCGGCTGAGAATCCTTAATCGCGCCACAACACAATCCCTAGGATTTCAACGCCGCGATCAACGTGACTGCTGCGTCCTGCCTATCCTAAACTTGCCAGAACACTATTCCTGGGACTTCGACACCGCGAATCACCGTGACTGCTGCGTCCTGATAATCCTGAGCCGCGCCAGAACACCATTCTTGGGACTTCAACACCGCAAATGAACGTGACTGTTGCGGCCTGGCAGGACTTTAACCATACGCATCCTCAACACGGCTGCATTTGTTTCAAGACGAATGTGCGCGACGCCAGGCGACACCCGCAGAATTTAAAAGGAGCCGTCCTCCATCCTTGGAACTGTTGCAGAATCGTCGAACGAACGAGCGCGGCGCTAGAGCGAGAGCCGCATTCTGAAAACCAACCGCTCTCCACCAATAAAAGAGCTGCAAGATTTAGGACGGATTTTCTCGGCGCTGAAGCGAGAACCATGTTTTGAAAACCAGCTGCCCTCCATCCGTGAAACTGTTGACAACGTATAAAAACGAACGCACGCGGCGCTAAGGTTGAGTGTGTCCTTTGGGGGCAAGCTCTGTTTCTCTGTTCAGGCCCAAAACTCAGATGAAGGTATGATTCATGTCTGCGCTGGAACTCTGATTCAAGTCTGGCCCTCAGCGCCAGCTCTGATGTAGGTCTGACTGGAACTCCGATTTAACTCTGGCCCTAGGACCCGAGTCTGATTAGGTCTGACTGGAACTCTGATGTAACCCTGAATTAGGTCTGAAAATGTGGATGTGGCGCTCACCTTAGCGGCTAAGGTGAGCGCCACATCCACATTTTGAGAAGAGCACGCCCTTCATCCAGGAAGCTGTTGCAAATCCCCCCAGCCCTCTGGGCGCAGGTGGTCTAACGATGTATTTGTTTTCCTATTCCAAAACCCTCTTCCCCTTCGGGGAGGGGTTTATCACTGTTCCCGGCCAGCAGCCAACCCGGAACCATGCGCACACCATGAGGGCCCCCCCCACCATCCCTGTCAAAAAACAATACAGAATGCACATTGCGGGGCCCACCCTGCCACCACCTTCCACAATCCCTTTCAAAGAACAAATACGAAGCGCACGTTGCAGCAAAATCTGGACAGTGCGCTGGCGCCCTGTGAGCACGTTGTATTGTTGTTTGATGTGGATGGCGGGGCACCCTTAGTGAAGCCGCTTTGTGCAGGACCACTAGCCGTGTCAAAAACAATGCAAAGTGCACGTTGCGACAACGTCGTGGGTATTGTGCTCGCCACCCGCGATCACTTTGTATTGTTTTTTGGCAGGGACCGCGGTGGTGCCCGCATGATGATGCTTGCTGTGCGCAGGCCCAGAACAATGCTGACACCCCCCAAAGCAGCATCTGGACCATGCGGACAGAAGGGCATCACGCTTTTACAAGGATGGCACACCAACCGCACGTGGAGCCCGCGGCGAGCGTCGCGTACCTGCCATCCGCATTGGTTTCCAGTGGCTGTCCATCCAGTGGCGACCCCTGGCTATGCCGAGACTCGGATGCCACCTATGTGGTGGGAGGGCGGGTGGGAGTGAGCTAGACGGCTTGCGTGCGGAGAAGGTGTCTTGACCCCTCCCCCTACCCCCTCCCCTGGACCTGGACGGGAGTGGCCGCGATCGGTTGAAGGGTCCTTTTTCGGCCCCTGGGAGGGCCAATTTCTGACACCCCTCACGAGGATCGTGGCCCCCGAAGGGGGCGCCTCGATCGGGACCCTTACACCTTAAATATCCGACAGCCTCGAAGATGGCCCCAAGAGGCGCTCCAGGGCTCCCAAGAGAGCCCCAAGAGAGCCCCAAGAGGAATCCAAGAGGGTCCCAAGAGGGCCCCAAGAGGCACCCGAGAGGCCCCCAAGAGTCCCCCGAGCGGCCTCAGAGAGCCCAAGATGACCTCCAAGATGGCTCAGATAGCCCAAGCTAGCTCAAGGCGGCTCCAAAGATGCTTCAAACGGCCCCAAGACCACTCCTAGAGCGCTCCAAGAGAGCCCCAAGAAGCGGTTTGCCGGCTCCTGAGGGGGAGCTGAGTTGCGGACCCCCCCATCCTGTAATTGATGGCCGTCGTCGTCCTCTGTCCTTCCTCGTGTTCGTCTTGGCGTCGTCGTCGTTTCCGTCGTCGTTGTCGCCGTGGTCGTCCTTCCTCCCTCGTCGTCTTCGTCGGCGTTTCGTCGTTGTTCCTCATATTTCGTCGCCGTCGTCGTCGTCGTCGTCGTCGTATTCCCTCCTCCCTCGTCGTTGTCGTCGTCGCCGTCGTCGTCCTCCCTCATCCCTCGTCGTCGTCGTCTTCGTTGGCGACGTCGTCGTCGTCGTCGTCGTCGTCTTCGTCGTCGCCGTCGTCGTCGTCGGGGTCGACGTCGTCGTCGTCGTCGGCGGCGTCGTCGTCGTCGGCGTTGTCATCGTCGTCGTCGCCGTCAGCGTCGGCGTCGCCGCCGCCGTCGTCGTCGTCGGTGTTGTCGTCGCCGTCGTTGTCGTCGTCGTCGAAGTCGTTGGAGACGTCGTCGGTGTCGTCGTAGTCGTTGTCGGCGGCGTCGTTGTCGACGGCGTCGTCGTCATCGTTGTCGATGTCGTCGTCGGCGTCGGTGTCGTTGCCAAGTGCCATGTGGTACCCACCGTCATGATCTCAGAAGGTCCTGCGACCAAGTTGCGGGTGGGAGGGTGGGATGTTTGCACGAGCAGTGGAGAGGACAGCGTCAAGACAGTCAAAGTGGACTGCACAACATAGATTGCACCACCTGGATTTCACCACATTGACTGCGCCGCACAGATGTAAACATCTCATGCTAGACACACGAACTGTTTGAGGCCCACGTTGGCTAACTTGAAGACAAAGGATGAAGGACCAAAGTTGGCCCGAGATGGGGTTTCGACGAGGCCTGGGGGAAGGGGCCTCGAGAGGAGGACGAGGTGGAGGAGTAGGAGGACGAGGAGGGAAGGGAGGAGGAGGAGGAGGAGGAGGAGGAGGACGAGGAGGAGGAGGAGGAGGACGAGGAGGAGGAGGAGGGGGAGGAGGAGGAGGAGGAGGAGGAGGAGGAGGAGGAGGAGGAGGAAAAAGAGGACGAGGCGGAGGAGGAGAAGTAGGAGGAGCAGGGGAGGGGGACGGGGAGGGAGGCGGCGGACAGGACGCGGCGAGCGGGCCGCATACGCCCACACCAGGCCGTCCCTCCGGAGCACCAGCAGGCGGGCGCGCCAGCGGACGCGCCACGCGCCCCCGCCCGCCCCGGATCCGCCCCTGGGAGCGGGGGGGGCGAAGACGACGACGACGACGACGACGACGACGACGACGACGACGACGGCGACGACGACGACCGTCAGTCTAAGACGTTTCGCTATTATATGCTCGCGTGCCTCTCAACATGTAGATGCCAAACCTTCGACACACGCTCTCTTCGTATTCGACAGTACCCCTCTTAAGGGTGTATATTCCTTACCTGCCCCGCGTAGTTGGCGCAGCCCCTAAAACAGGGGAAGGGAGGGAGGAGGGAAGAGACAAGGGGGAGGGAGAAGGATGGAGCACAAGAGAGAGATTTGCAGGAGAAGTGTTAGGAGCATCAATACAAGCAGCTGAACCCGACGGGCGGGTCGGGCGGGCGGACCCGAACGGGAGGGTCTGGCGGGCGGGCCCTGACGGCCGGGTCGAACGGGCGGGTCGCTGAAGCGTCAATCCAACATGAATCACAAGAATATCCCACCAGCCCTTTAGGGCGTAGGCGGTCTAGGGTGTTTTGTCTTCCATCTGCCCCTCGTCCCCTTCGGGGAGGGGTCTACACCTCCCACCACCCCCTCCCCTGGAATGAGACGAGCCCGGTCGCGAGGTGCCCGGGCGTCCAAAGCGACCTCGGCGACGAAGCCAAAATCACTGCTTTTACAAAAAGATTTCGGCCCCATTTTGGCCTCTTGGGAGGGCAACCCTAATTAAAGTTTCCCTCTTGTTTGATCGATGCCCTCCAAGATGGCCCCAAGAGCGCCCCCAAGGCTCACAAGAGCGCTTCAAGAGGACCCTAAGAGGCGCCCGAGAGGCCCCAAGAGGCCCCAAGAGGCGCCCAAGAGGCCCCCAAGAGGCTCCCAAGAAACCCCCAAAGGCCCCAAGAAGCTCGCCGAAGCACCCAAAACGCTCCAAGAGGCCTACGGGACCGCCGAGAAGCCCACAAGACGCTCCAAGAGGCCTCCACTGGGGACCATTTCTCTGCGTGCTGCCCACTTCCCTGATCGAGGCAACTCTGGGCATAGTTTCTGGATGGGCTGGTTCGCGAGCGACACAGAGCAACTGCACGCCGTCAAGAAACGAAGCAACAACGCAACGATCTAAATTACGGCCTAAGAAGGAGCCACAGCGACCGGGGCGCGCTAAGCGAGGCTCAGGTGGCGGAGCCGGCGAAGTCCAGGAAGTCCGCCAGGCCGAGGACGACCAAGAAGGCCACGGGGGCCAACACAATGGTGTGAATTGAGCGTCAGACCCAGGACCAAGAGTCAGACAGCCGCGGTGCAGAGGCTCGCCGTGCGCGTAGCGAAAAGGCAAGCGAACGACAAGACAAGGCTGCTGCCCGCCGTCACCCGCATGTTGGGTGGAAGCCGGCCGCCGGCAGCGCAGGACCCGTGCCGGGGGGCACCCGCAAGCCTATGCGAACTCGACGACGGAGTGGCCCTCAGCGAGCGTCGAGGCCCGTGCTGGTCGACCGAACTCGGGTGGAAGCCGGAGCAGACGACCGCAGTCCCGGCGCAGGGGGGCCAGACCAGCCTGGCAGCCAACACGACCACGCGCCGCTGGCTCCGGCCCGGCGCCCCGGGGGGGGCGCCGCGAAAGGGGGAGGGCCAGCGGAAGCGGAGCGCCGGGGCGCGGTGGACCAGGCCACGCGGAGGGTGCACCCGGGCACTCCCCGGCGGGGGGACGAGGGCGCGGGGGCGGACGGGGGGGCGAGGGCGAGGACGCAGCCAACAGCCGCAGTAACTGTGAAATAACCGAGGGGGGCGTGGGGGACGGAAGAAGGGGGGCGGACAGGGGGCGGGGGAGGGAACGCAGCTAACAGCCGCAGAAACGGTGAAAAGTCAGTGGGGGACGGGGACTGGGAGCGGGCGGGGGGCGCACGACAGGCGGCGGGTGCCGCAACCAGCAGTAGGGACAGAGGGGCGCGGGAACGATGGCATGGGGGCGGGCGGGGGGCGGGGCGTGGGGACGGGGGCAAGGGGCGGGCGGGGGGGGGGGCGGGGGGATGCAGCTAACACCCGCGGTCAAGGTGAAGCACCGTGGGGGACGGGCATCAGGGGGCGGGCGGGGGACGGAGCCGTGGGGCAGGGGTGGCAGTCGGAAGGAGAGCAGGGTGACTCCGTAAGGGCGGCGGGGATGGAGGGCCCGAGACTGGCATGGCGCAGTGGCGGGTGCCAGACGCCAGGCCAAGTGGTTTGCGGAGCGGTGAGCGGCCTCCAAATGCCGGGGAGGCGTTGAGTGCCAAGCACCGTCCAGGGAGACGCGGTGCCGGGCAGCACAGGGCTGAAAATGCCGCGGGGGCGCTAGCAGTACAGGAGGCCCGCAGGGGAGAGGGCCAGCCCCCGGTTTCACCTACGGCGTGCCAGGGGGGGCGGCAGTCATCCAGGGGGAGAGAGGCCGCAAAGGAGGACCCAGAAGGAACTCATGAATGCCTCGGACGAGCCAACAGCCCCAGCTGGGCGCGCCCAAGACGGTACTAGGCGCACCGCAGGGGTGGTGCGCAGGAGAAGCCAACCAGGCGCGCCTGTGCGGCGGGGGTGGTGCTACCATGAGAGACACTGATGTACAGTGTGGGACGTCACTGGCCTGGGGCGCAGGCCTGGCGTGCCTGCGCCCGTGAGGGCTTTGACAGGGACTTAGGAGTACACCAGGGCGCGGACCGCCACGGTTCCCCCGTCCTCGTCCAGCTGGAGTCATTGCCCTCTCGGAATCCCTTGTTTTTGGTTTTGTCTGGGGTGCCCTTGCCCTTGATCCTGTCAGTGAACCGACTACGGACACAGGGCAGTCGACGCCCAGGCGAAGCGCATCGTCCATCTTCATGGCGTGGCAGTCGTGGCGGATCCAGTCTTTGAGGAAACGCATGCATGATTCGGGCTCCTGCTTACAGGGGTCGGCACAAGTGTGGCCGGACTTGGTGAGGTGCTTGGTCGTCCACTGGTGCCATACCCCGTTGAAATACTCCCCGAAGTCCCTCTTGGAGTCGCTTCACGGTCTCGGCCGGGGTCTCGCCAGGGAGGCTGGTGAGACTGATCCGCTCCAGAGGAGTTATGTAGATGTAAAGGCCAGTGACTGGGTCAGCCAGGTTCTGTGAAGAGTCAGCTTGTGCGCTCGCGTAGGACGGCCACGGGCCGGACCGAGGTGTTGGGAGGTCATCAGGGACAGGGGGTGCGTGGGTGCGCGCTGTCCGGCTCCAGCGGTCGCCGACCTCACAGCTGGACCAGCCTGACCATCCTGGCCAGTTGCCGCTGTAGGGGCCGCTGCGGCTGGCCTCGTCATGCCGACGTGGACGGCGCTCACCCCAGCCCTCGCCCCGGTCGTACTCATCCCGTACCGCATTGCCCGCCCAGGGCTGCCACGGGATGCTGGGGGATGGCGGGGCCCTGCGTTCAGGGAGGCGAGTGAGCTTTCTGTCATCTTGTCCTGCCAGCACTGGGGAGGCGCCAGGATCGTCAGCAAGGGATGTGGGGCTGCAGGGCCTGAGCGTCGCCTCGGGACTGCCAGAGGAGTCGACCTGCAGTACCGGTGGTTCCGAGCTGGGGATCGGAGACAAAGCAACGGGGGCCCCTTTTCGGCCCCGGGGGGGTATGGGTCTGCCGTCTTGAGAGCCAGCCAACGAGGTGTCGGAAGAGGCGTCTCCGTGGGCAGCAGTGCCGTCGCCCATGCTGACGGGGGGGAGGCCCATTGCGCTGGCCTCACTCGGGGCGTGCCCGGGGCCGTTGCACCAGTGCCGGAGTCGTCGGCGGTCGGGCTCGCCCGCCTTGAGTGGCTGTCCGCTGGGGAGCGGGAATTGGCCCTACGTGCGAGAGAACGGCTGGTGGGGTTACGCGAAACGTCTAGAATTTCGTGCGATAGCTCGACTCCAGAGTAAATCCTGAGGAGGTCCAAGGAAGGCGACGTCGTCGGCGCAACGTCTCAATCAATTGCCAGAGAGTAACATGAGAGCGCGACTCCTGGATAAATTGTGACGACGTCCCGCGCGAGAGAGCGATTTAGAAAAAAAATGTGAAGACATATCAGGCGGGAGCCGCTGTTGTGGTAAACCAAGGGGCAGCAACACAATTTGAGCCCTGGGAGGAGCACTTCAAATGAAAAGCATTATGGGAACTGGGCAGGGGGGATTAACAATAAGTATTGAAAAATAAACACTCAATGACAAAGAAAAACGACGACGAAGACGAACGACGACCACGACGACGACGGCAACGGCGGGAGCGGCGAACGGCGGTAGCAGAAGAGGCGACGACGGCGGAGACGACGGAAACGGCAACGACTGCCGTGACTACGACGACGCATGACGACAGACAACGACGACGACGACGATGACGACGACCACCACGACGACGATGACGAAGACGACGGCGACGGAGACGACGACGACGACGGCGACGGAGACGGCAGCGGCAGCGGAGGCGGAGGCGGCTCGCAGCGGCGGCGGTGGAAGCAGCGACGACGGCAGCAAAGACGACAGCAACAACCACGATGACGACGGCATCGATGACGACAACGACGACGACGACGACGACGATGGACGGCGACAGACGACGACAAGAACGACGGACGACGACGACGACGACGACGACGACGACGACCACGGTGACGACGACGAACACGACGATGACGACGACGACGACCACCACCGCCAGCACGACGACGACCACCACCACGACGACGACGACGACGACGACGACGACGACGACGGACGACGAACGACGACGACGACGACGACGATGACGAAGACGACGGCGACGGAGACGACGACGACGACGGCGACGGAGACGACGACGGGGACGGCGACGATGACGGCGACGGCGACGGCGACAGCGACGGCAACGGCGACGACGACGACGACGGAGACGACGACGAAGACGACGACGACGACGACGACTAGGACGACGACACCGCCGCCGCTCGACGACAACGGTGACGACGACAACGACGACGGACGACGACGACGGCGACGACGACGACGACGACCAAGACGACCAAGACGACCAAGACGACGACGGACGACGACGACGCTGGCGACGACGACGACGACGACGGACGACGAGGATGACGACGGCGACTATGACAACGATGACGACGACGACGATGACGACGACGACCACGTCGACGACGACGACGACGACGACAACGGACGACGACGGCGGCGGCGAGAACAACGACGACGACGACTAGGACGACGATCACGATGGTTTCGCTTCGAAGGTTTTTCGAGCGTTTCTGGAGGCTTTCGTCACCACGGCTGGACGCGAGCCGAAAGACTGGCCCAGGGTTGACCTGCGAGGGGTCCGCGGGATCGCTCATGAGCGAACATTGGCCGAAATACGGCGACGAGGAAGAAGAAGAGCAAGAGGAGGGGGGGATGTTGAGCAGGAGCAAGACGAGGTATCCTCCTTCTCCTCCTCCTCATTCTCCTCTTTCTCCTCCTCCTCCTCGTTTCGTTTCGCGTGGCGGACTGAGCTTCATGCAGCTACCCCTGATGCTATAGTATTGCAGCATGTGACAAGTGCGGCCCCAAATACAGCGTGCAGCGAGAGCGAAGATCATACGGCAGGCAACAGCAAGCGCGCGACAAGAAGGAGGAAGGAGGAGCAAGAGGGTGAAACTCGAGCCCAAAAGGGCGCCTCCTCCTCCTTCATCACCACCACCACCACCACCATCATCATCATCATCATCATCAACATCATCATCATCATCATCATCATCATCATCATCATCATCATCATCATCATCATCATCATCATCGTCGTCGTCGTCGTCGGCGTCGTCGTCGCCATCATCAGAATCATCAGCATCATCATCATCAGCATCTTCTTCTTCATCATCATCAGCATCATCAGCATCAGCATCATCAGCAGCAGCATCATCATCAGCATCAACAGCATCATCATCATCAGCATCAGCAGCAACAGCATCAGCATCATCATCAGCAGCAGCATCTTCTTCTTCTTCATCAGTAGTATTGGTATGATGCTCACTACTATTATTGTTGCTACGATTAGTGTTATTATGTGTAAGGGCCTATGCTTATCATTACTAACATTCCTCCTCCTCATCCATCTGAAGTTATCCTTCTCCTCCTCGCCCTCCTGCTGCTACCGCTCTGCCTGCCCCCGTGCCGTGGACATGCGAAAGTCTATGCGTGTGCCGCCTGTCTTCGAGAGGGTAAGAGCAAGATAAAGATAAAGAACAAGAGAAATAAAAAGAGAAACATAAAGAGAGTCAGAGACGGACGGACGAAAGAACCGACAGACAGAGACTCACTATCCTAACATGTTCCATCTCGACCCCTTTCCCAAGGACAGCTTTCCCACCCTGAATTGCTCCTTGTTGGTCCTAGGGCCCAGAAACGACCCCACAGACCAAAGATCACGAAAACACCCGTCGACCACGTGTCCAAGTTCGAAAGATGTGAGAAGAGGAAGGGGGGGAGAGAGAGAGAAAGAGAGAGAGAGGGAGAAACAAGAAAAAAGAGGCAGAGAGACAAAAGGACAGAGAGAGACAGAGGGAGAGGGAGAGGGAGAGGGAGAGAGGGAGAGAGGGGGGGGAAAGCGGCACCTGCCGCCGCTTTGCCCCTCCCGCCCGCAGCTGCTATCCGGCGGCAACTGCGTCGCGCACCAGAAGAAGCCGTGAAAAGCAGTGCCTGCGGAAGCAGCAAGCCCCGCTCGCCATCTGGCCCACTGCAAGACCCGTGCCACACTTGGGCGAGGAGGAGGAGCATCGGGGGGTGCTGGAGGTGTCCCTGGCGCAAGATGTCCCCAGCTTTTCGCTCCCTCTGGGCCTCGCGAGGAGTGCTCTGGAGGCCATGGGGGACTCCTTGTAAATCCTGGGGGCACCTTTGACCAGGAACGCGTGTGTCAACACCTGGCAGCAGCAGCCCACAGAACTACCAAGAAAACAAGTGTTCCATGACCAAAACTATTGTAAGTCTGAGCGTCTCGCCTTTGTCTCTTCTTTGAAGATGAGCACAGCGTTCGCTTCCATCTGTTTCTCACGCTGGGCCGCACGGGGGTCGGAAAGACACTTCCCGCGGAGCATACCACGCTCTTCTTCGGGCCATTGCTGCAACCCCAGGTTGCAGGACGACGCTGATCCTCACTGGTGCCCCGGGTGCTACGAAGGGGCTTCTGTGGCCATACGGAGCCTCGGCCACGAAAGGTTCCCCGACCTGGATACAAGGAACGGCCCGAAAACCAGAGCCCCTCCTGAACCCAAAATGGTCCTTGTTTCAGCGTCTTCACTGTCATGATACAAGCCACGTCGGCTGAAAGGTACCAGACAGACCGGGAATGGGATGGTGAAAAACACCTGGACTCAAATGTCTGCCGATGGGGGGCGAAACGGACCGCGGCGGATTGGCGTAGACATGTTGGCCAAATGCTTTAAGGAAAACAAGCCGGAATAAAAAATCGACGAATCGAAAATGCATTGAAACATATCTCTCAATTCCATACAATGTGTCTCTAGAAATCTATGTGTTGCGGCCTATGTGGAGCGATCTATGTGGTCCAATCAGTGTGGGGCAATCGGTGTGATGCAACATACGTGGTGCCATCTATGATGTGCTATACTTGTTGTGCAATCTACGATGTGCAATACATGCTGTGCAATATATGTGGCACAATCTGCGTGGTGTATCTGTGTGCTGCTGTATATGTGGGGCAGAATATGTGATGCAATGCGTGTATATGTATATATGTATACACTAGAACCATCGCGTGCGCTTCGAGCGCGTTCAAGCTCTAGCCAGGGTCATGATCATCGTCATAATTATCATCCTCATCATTTTCCTCCTCCTCCTCCTCGAGCGTAGCGGCCTCCTCCTCCTCCTCCTCCTCCTCCTCCTCCTCCTCCTCCTCCTGCTCATCTCCTCCTCCTCCTCCTCCTCCTGCCCTCCTCCTCCTCCTCCTCCTCCTCCTCCTCCTCCTCCTCCTCCTCCTCTTTATCCTCCTCCTCCTTGTCCTCCTCCTCCTCTCTTCTCTCAACGCACCCAGTACCCGGGTGCCTACTGGAACGCGTGCCGGGAGCCGTATTGGAAGCATTGTGGCAGTCTCTGGAGCCTCTCCGGGCCTTCCTTTGGAGTCCTTTGGGGCCTTTGTTGGCCCGTCTGAGGGCCCACTTCGGCCGTTCTGGGTCCCTCTTGGCTCGTCGTGGGAAGCTCAGCCCGTCTTGGGGCCCTCCTGGGGCCTTTCCGACCATGTAGGAATCCTCTGGTGGCCCCCTCGGGCTTCCTGGGGGCTCTCTTGGGCCGTCTTGTAGCTCGTCTGTGCCGCTTGAAGCTCTCTTCACCCCATCTTGGAACCCTCTTTGGGGCCTCTGGGGCCGTCTGCTTGGATGGATGACGGTGTTTATACGCACTTACAGAACATATGAGTACATAGCTTCTGCTTACGCAGGTTACTACAACAATATATACTTAGGTTAGTACTTGAGATACAGACGTACTTATAACCAGGTGTTAGTAGGTTAGCTAACTAGCTTAATCTAGTTACGATAAGTCCGCTATCCTGGATACGCTAACTCCGCTATCCTGTATACGACCAATAACAAAACTTTAAACATCTACTAAATTTTAAATGACAAGGCCATGTAGTTTCGAAAACAAGCCGCATACAAACAAACATAAACAACACAAAACACATAAACGCACACGTTTGAAGCATCGGCGTGCACATTGATTGTTTCGAGGGGCCCTTTGGGGGCCTGGGGGAGAGCGGCTCTATGGGCTCCATGGGGCCCTTTGAGGGTTCCTCCAGGGGCCCCCTAGGGAGGGCATTCGAGGGGCTTCTCAAAGCCAACTAAAACAAGTCCGCCAGACAGCACGGCCAGCAACACTATGTTTCATAGTTTTGTGCATAGGACGTGCCGAAGTTTCGGCGGCAACAAGACCTGACATATGCTGCCGACCTCTGCGGGCCAGAACACGGTCGGCTCCAGCAGACTGGAAGTAGGCACTACAATCGGAGCATCTTGCACGATACATTTTGCAACGTGAAACTGGACCGACTGAAGATCCCCATTCGCTCACGCAGCTGACCACGACTCCATCGATGCTGCAGTGGCACCATACTTCACCAAATCGAATGAGCCCATCATCATTCTGGAATGCGACCACATCAGCAGCCCTGATGAGTTTAAAGTTGACAAATGCTTTTGAACTTGCCAAGATGGTTGCTGCAGGGCTGATACCAAATTCCGAAGTCAAGGCGCAGCGCATTTTTTTTATGCCGCATGCGGCTCCACGAGGTCTGACTTAAATATAGGATGCTGCAGGTGATACACTGCATCAAGAGCAACTGCCTCTACCAAACCCTTTTCGTAACTACGGTCATTATGGCGAGACTCCGCGAGACGTTTCACTGTTTTGTGCTTCCTTTCCATGAGGAAGCACAACACCAACTGCCTAAAACGAGCGAATTGTGGGCCTATGTGGGTTGCCCAGTGGTTCTTGGGTTTCCACAAGGACTCTCCATACGCAACTTGATGAGCATACAAATGGGTTAAAATCGAATCGTCCAAAGAGTTCGCACTCACAGTGCCAGAATTTGCAACGCTGAGTAGCTCAAGCACCTTGCACAACAAAATTGCACTCTCAACTTGCGGCCTGCACTGGCCAGAAGGATACGCGATATCGACGAGAAACTTGCGCAGCACAGGTGCAAGGGCCAACATCTCGGACGCCGACCCTCCTGGCGTAACTGATTTGTTGCCTTTGCATATGTTTCGGGCGTTGCTATAACAACCAGGCCACCTGAAATTCTGGAGGTATGCATCCAACTGCTTAGCACCTAATCTATTATTGGTTGCTTCGGCGAGCGACTGCATCAAGCAGACCACCTCATTATTGAATATTCCATCAACGGCGCATATGTGCATCCAGTCCCAGCCCCAGACAGAGGCTAGCCTCACCCGTAAATCCGAATCTTGCATCACGCCAGTTTCGCAATATATGAAACCATAGTACACCTCGACTTCCTTCAGCTTGACGGGGTCGGTTGTTGCCAGATGCTCCAGCCTGGACTGCATAGACCAGATGTCTTCGTCAGTCAATGCCTTAAACTCTGAACGATCTAAAGTCGATGACGGGAGGCAGAAGTTTGTGCGCTCACCGACATACGCCGAGTTAATGCCCACAATGTTGCAACACAGTGGGCATATGTTCACACTGTTGCAGCCTTTTGTCGTCAGCATGAACTTGTGCGCTCTCTCGTCTTGCACAATTAAATGCAAATTGGCAAATAGCAGCCGTGGGCTGTCCTCCCCTGGAATCTGAAATGAGACTCCATGTCGGAGGTCATAAGATGATGGTTGCCCAAAAAAACAATTTCAACAGCGCACGAGTAAATTGAGACATGCCTCCACTCAGTTTGTTCACCTGCGAGGACCTGCAGCACGTCAGAGTCATCCATACTTCCTCGGCGGACAGGGCTGGATACCCCATGTTGTGGATTGCCCAGTAGAGCGCCTGTACTTTACGAAAATTATGAAGCCCCAAGCTGTTCCCAGGTGTTACTTCATCTGAATACAGTATCAATTCCATTACATTGCTGCTGGCGTCCATTGTTTGAATGAACACCTGGCGAAACTCCGACGATACTGTCAGCGCTACTTCCAGCATTGCCAATGGGTGGATCACCCAGCAACCGAAACCAGGAGTGAGGAAGTCATCGGGAAGTCTCTGCACGAGCGGTCCAAATTGAGTCCCCTGGTATGCAACATCTTGTCTGGCCTTCCGCACGGCCCAAGTCGAAGTCGCACTTGGACACTCAGCCTCTGAATCCCTCAGCTCTTTCAACACAGAAGCTAAACCTGCATCGGTGACGTGAGACTTTCTGCCGAGGTCTGACAGCTTCAATCTCTTTGGATGTCCTGACATGACCTGAGCCAAAACGGCTACGCACGTGCATATACACGTATGTTGCATGGTTGTATACGCATGCGTATATGTGTTTATGGGGGCATGTGGGCTACAACAGTACCATGGGCAGCTGCCTTGCAGCAAGAAGCCGAAATACTACAATACACATGCATGCATACATACATACATGCATGCAGACAGCTTGGGCCGTCTGGCAGGACCGCTCTTGGGCAGTCATAGGTAATAGGGCTACCTTGGGACATATTGGGCATAACCTGAGCAACTGCCACGACTGCGTTGAAGGCATCTTGGGCCATCTTGGGAGCCCATTGGCCGTGAGGCCGATTTTGGAACGCCGTTCCATGTTAGTGTTGGGGCATACTTTGGAACGCCGTTTCAATTTGCATCTGGGGCAGCTGTCACGACTGTCTTGAACGCCTCTTGGACCATCTTGGGAGCCAGCGAGCCCGCGAGGCCGATTTTGGAACGCCGTTCCAATTTAGTTTTGGGGCAGATGCTGGAACGTAGTTCCAAGTTACTTCCAGGGCAACTGTCACGACTGTCTGGGAGGCATCTTGGGCCATCGTGGGAGCCGCTTGGCAGTGGGCCGCATTGGGGGGTCCTCTTGGGCAGGGGTCCCGTCTTAATGGCATTGCTTGCAGCTGCCGTAGCCTTTTCGTTCGTAAGCCCAGTGGCTTCGCCAACGTGCGGTGGTCAGATGCGCACACCGCCGACCCCCAACTCAAACTCACAGAAGGCAATTTACTAGTGTGCACGTCATGCGC